TCTATGGTCTGCTGGGGTAATAATATAGTGTAAAGCGCATAGAGCCTGCTGTTTAGCGGGGATGTGCGCTATACAAATGCTATCTTAATAGATGGACATTTAAATGGTGACTGAAGAGATTAAAACATACAAGTTTCCCTTTCTTGGAGTTCTTCGTCTACTACAGAACAGCTGGTCATGTCAAATTGTGGTTTGCGAGAGAGTTTATATTATATATAACGACACTCAGAAAGTGATGTAATCATCAAAAGCTTCATGATTATATTATAATATCCAATGGACGGACCTTAGAACCGTGTGCAAATGGTGTAAAGGGTAAATCAGAGCAACATCAACCAGAAAAAAAGAGAGCGTTGCCCTCACACGATAATTTCCAGTCCAGAAACACTCATTCTTTGAGGTTGCACCTTTCCCACAACTTTCCACACAAACTAGGGCTGCTATCTTGATGGAATCTCTTGCATCAGCATAATAAAAAATCTTCTTAGCTCGATAAAGAAATGCCGCCTGGAATTTAAAGAATTAAAAACTTAGTTTGGCCACTTTGTGGTTAAAACTTTCTTGTTGGGGCCTTTCTCGCGTCGGTGGCCTAGTGGTTAGGCTCTCGGACTCGCAACCGTAAGGTTGTGGGTTCGAATCCTGTCAGGGGCCCGACGTTGTGTCCTTGGGAAAGGCACTTTGCACAAATTTTTCTCACTTCACCCAGGTGGACATGGGTACCCGGCTATAAACAGTGAATGATCTTGTCGGTTTGGTAGTGTTTGAGCGTGTGAAATCTGCAGCTTGCACAGTATGCTTCCGCGGAAGCCGAGAATGTTTCTGAGAGTTCTCAGAGGGTCTGCTGGGATAAAAATGGTTGTAAAGCGCATAGAGCATGCTCTTGAGTGTGGATATTCGCTATATAAATGCAATTATTATTATCATTATTATTAAAAAGACATTTATATACCAGGAAATAAAATGCCAAATTAAACGGTCAGGTTGGTTCTGTTATGCATAGGTTGAGTTTGAGCTCAGTCTGGACACATCCTGGCCATTTATGTTCACTCAAAGCACCGATGCGCAAGAAATTTGCAGAAACCAAAGGCAAGAAAACCCAACTCGTCTTGGGATCGACTTAAATCTTCTCTCATAACAAAGAAGGGCGCTGTCAGCCAAATTATTACAGGCACATTGACCGGTAGAGGACGGCGTGATTAATGCTTAAAACTTGAAGGTGTCCAGCGACACTACAACAACTGCCAGTTTACTCTCCAGTTCAGGAAGTCCGTCTTGCCAACTTCGCCGCGATCCCGAAACAAACGCGGTGGTTCAGTATCGTACTCAAACACATCAAACTCATTCTGATAGACTCGCACGATATCCCGGAGCTCTTCAAGCGTGAGAGTCGCGTAAGCTTCCAAAAAAGCTTGTACTTTTTGTTTCTTTAGCTGAGCTCTGTCTTTCGAGGCTTCCACAGCGCTCCTGCAGGCGGAAACGAACTTCGTGGAAGGCATGGCGTCCACTTCTCCTGCTTTGAAAGGATAAGAAATCCGACTGTCGATGATTCCGCGGATCTGAAGTTTGCGCCAAATTCTTTGACCCATTTCGTCCAATGACATGCAAGCTTGGATGTCTTTTTTCCAGCTGAAAGGGCTCTCTACTGCGTCGAGAACGGTGTCTATGGAAGCGGTGTAAGAATATTTCCCATCGTGCTGGAAAGCAGACGAGACGTTGAGAGAAGCTGAGAGAAAGTCAATGTCGTCTGTTGTTGTCTCCAACTTGCCGACTACATCATAAATGACGTCACACATCTTGCATTCCTCGTAAACTGGTCTGAAATAGAACAATAAAGTAAATATCATCATCAGCATCATAGCTGTTTAAAATGCAGAGTAGAAGGAAGAGTCTTGCTTGATTTACAGATAAAAAACATATAAATATGAAATGTTTTAAATTTGTTTTATTCAATCGGCTCGATGTTTCGCTACGTAGGTTCCTTCCATGTGTTGTTTGTAATTTGATGGGGCCAAGCGGAACTGTAATACACCTTTCTCGATCAAATATCAAAATACAGAGTTCAAATGCAGCATTGAAAGCTCAAATATCAAAATAGTCAAATTAATTCAACATAGAGAGTTCAAATTCAACACAATGAATAACGTAAGCAAAAGTCAGCTCAAATGTATTCACAGGAGAGCTCGAATGTAACACTAGGGAAATCAAATTCGTCGTTGTCAGTTCAAATGCTGCATAGGAAAGTTCAAACTCAACAATACGAAAAACTACGAGGCTATGATCTAGCAACGTTAACATTGCTGGGTCTCAGATGTAACCTAACCATCGATTCCGAGTTAGGGGAAGCTACCATGTCTTTTAGCAACGTTCATTGTTTACTGTTCACGTCTCTCGCATTCAATACTCACCGTCAGCTACCTAGATCTACACTTTTTCCCGATCATATATCAATCAAATAGCGAGTTCAAATGCAGCAATGAAAGTTCAAATATCTGTCTCCTAGCTTCATTCGTTGTTAACTGTTCTCGTCTCTCTTCGTCAGTGTGATGTCAAGGGATATGACTCTTATCTTTACTGTGGGAACTAGATAATTAGGGGAGTGGCACGCCCTTGGATGACGTCAAGAGCCGGGCGCGAAAAATAGAGAGATCGTCTGAGAGACGCGGCGGTAGGTGTGGATCTCATTCCACCATTTATAAAACGAAGGGCATTGTTTTGGACCTTGTCA